AGTCAAGAATCTTAAATGAAGCAATTCTTTTGATAGCTGCTAGAATAATCCTCTTATTAAGCTGGCTAAACTCTAGGTTTCTCTGCCATAGAAATAAACACGTTTATTTGTTGTTATTTAAGTGAAATATCAATTTGCTTTAAATTATCAGGTATATGTACCAATTCAGTGATCACGATCCTGGCTTAGATCTAAATACAGAGAGACTAGTCACAATGTTCTTCTATGATCCCAAGGAATGATGCAATGTGAAGTCTGTATCTCAATAAGTCAAAGAATATTCGGTACCATGGATAGTTTACAGCACAACCTGTTTGTGACAGCATTCATTGGGTCCTTAATATGACCAGCAGCACCCCTTGGAATCTCTACCAAGCTGACCCAATTTAATCCAGACCCCCCAAAAGACTCTGACTTACAAAACTAATGTTATGAACTTCAATAATAAATAATCAATCATCTAGAGCTTGTCCGTGGCCACCTTTAATACAAGGCACTTCCCAATGGGATTGAGAACTTCAATTGTGCTTGTTTCAAATTCTGGGAGGTTTGGATGAGATATTCTCAGTAATCCCATCTTCTACTTTTCATTATTACTACTATCAAAATATTTTTCTCTGCCTAACTGACATCGTTGGTTAAAAGGAGCAAGACTACATAATAATAATAATAATAATAATAATAATAATAATAATAATAATAATAAAGTTGGAAGGGATCTTGGAGGTCATCTAGTCCAACCCCCTGCTCAGGCAGGAAACCCTATATCATTTCAGACAAATGGCTGTCTAATCTCTTCTTAAAGACTTCCAGTGTTGGAGCATTCACAGTTTCTGGAGGCAAGTTGTTCCATTGATTAATTGTTCTCACTGTTAGGAAGTTTCTCCTTAGTTCTAGGTTGCTTCTCTTTTTGGTTAGTTTCTATTTGTTGCTTCTTGTCCTGCCTTCAGGTGCTTTGGAGAATAGCTTGACTCCCTCTTCTTTGTGGCAACCCCTGAGATATTAAACAGCACCTTATCTCAGCAGCTAAAATGTTCAGCTACCACTCAAGTCCACCATTAGCAATGGAAATGCTCTGCAGGAGTTTGAACCATCAGTCTTTTGTAGTCCAAAACAGGCCACATGGTTCTAGAGTTAGAATGAAGGGAAATCCCTATATACGTTGCTTTGAACTCCACAGAAAAGATGGGATATAAATCAACCCAATAAATTTGAATTAGAAATAATGTTATTGCTTTTCCTTATGTTTAGAGAGATGAGCAGACATTAACAAAAGGGGAGACCAAATGCACAAGGCTTAACAGCAGGTTCAGCAAGTGTCTGGTGGTATTCCATCTTGATATTCAGAATCACCAGAACTTACATTAACCTTCTAGGATTCAAGCTTATTTCATCTACATATTTTAAAAGTTTCCCTTATGATAGAGAAGGCAGTCTGTGCATGTTGAACATTCCAAATAATTGGAAAGATCAAACATGTATCTCCATTTCAAATAAATTAGTGAGCTGTATTGCCAATTCTGACAAATCTGTTTCTTATTTTCCAATCTCAAAAAGGATTTGTCTTCTTTTTGCTTCTAAGTATGTTTTAATAGCTTGTATAAATATTTAGATAATTTTGTGTATTTTGAATACATACATTTTAATGCCATTTTGCAAACCATCTCTGAAAACCTTGCCAAGAAAACTTGGAGACCAGGTGGTCTCCAATAATCAGACATAATGAATGGAAAGGGGAAAAGTTTACATGTACTTTCCCAAAGGTTTAAACTTTTGTGTTTTTTTTTAAATTAGAGAGACACATTGCAAATAGTATGACTTCTGAAGGGTAACTGAATTTCAGATTACATATTGCTTTACAACACTAATATTAGATAGTGTCAAAATGCAAATCAAACCATTTCCTATCTGTCTTCCACTGGTTTTTAGGAAGTGGTTCAAAGCTGACATAACTACCTAAAAACAGTTGATGTTGGCACAATAAAGTTGGTAAATTGATGCCAGCTTTTCCAAAATGCACTACAAAAAATCTGAAGCAAATATGAAATTGGATGAGATTAGCAAAGCAGTTAAATTATTCTAAGCTAATAACAAACCTGGTCCAGATGGCTTATCTACTAAATACCATTATAAATATGATGTTGCTTAAATGAGGAGATAGAAGACTTTTCATACAGATCAAGAAATATCTCAGGCCTATACATCTATGGAAGTCATACCCCTATTTTAGGAAGTTGTTCTCTAGCTAACTGTTGCTATTTTGCCTTTGGGAAAGACTTCAATTTTTATCCCTCAATCCCATCTTTCCAAAGAATAAATGTAAGTAAAATACAAATATTCCAATACTAAATAACTGATAGGGGTTTTAAGTTTTTTATCGCTTTTCTAACATGTCAGTCACATTAATTATTTTGATTCCACTCTTCTGTGAAATGTTTGAGAATTCTAAATGGACAGAAAAAAAGTGCCATCTTGTAGCTTCCCACCAATGATGTCATACCAACCTGAAGTCCTCTACTTATTTTGAACTATAGCTGTTATAATCCCCTATTTGCTAGATCATTTTGTGTATGTGGAGAATGCTGCTGTAGACTGAAATAATTTTATTCATCTAGCACCTTCTAATACATATGGTTCATGCTGGCTAGGGAACCTTCTAAGAGTTGAAGGTTTAATATATTTTTGTGAAGCCAAATAGGGTAATGCTAGTAGCTGAGAAATGGAGTGGAGAAAGTTTGGTTTTACAAACCTAGGTCAAAGTCTTGCATCTTCCCTTTCATGAAATCCATACTTACGGTATCTGATCCCAGCTGAAATGGCCTTTCCCATAGTATGCAGTCCTAGGATTCAGTTGCATAGAATTGTCTAAGCATTTCTTTCTAGGCTTATTTTTTAAAAAAAACAACAACAAAACAAACACTTAAACTTAATTATAATTAATTGCTGTGATGCTCAAATGCCCAAGAATGCAATATTATTCAATTTATTTTATGTCATTAGGCAGTAGGTCTAATCAGTGTGGTGCAGTTCCATTAACAATGCAGCTTCCAAAACACCAATAAGGGCAGATATTTGCCAGGCCATTGTCATATCTAATGTATTAGCTTCTCTACACTCATCCCAGTGCTAACTTTCTCTCTTTAATTGCGATTTGCATGATATTGGAGAGCCCTCTAGAGAAAAACAAATCACCTGGTGCATTTTGTTATTCCAGAGTGCTACAGAATTGAGAAAAGCTTTGTTTGCTAATATTTTCATATCAATAGTTTGCACATAATAAGTTTTTATACCCTCTGAAGCAAAATGTCAGAAATGTCTCTTTAAGTTAGCTACTATATTATCGGTTAATTGTCCCAGTCTCTTTCAAAAATACTCAGGATGGCCCATATTCTTCTTTCCTTTCTCTCTCATTTTATCCATGCAACAAATTTTGTCCATTAAATTCCATAGCTGAATGGAAAATTGAATTCAAAGTTTCTTTCTTTTAGTGCAAGTCCTTAAGCATTATACATAATGGCTTCATTCATGAATAGGCTGTCTAGTTTCTACTGAATATTTTCATAAACACACAACACATAGTAAAAGCACAGTACAAGCACAGAGACCAAAATAGCAATTCTGTCCTTCTCTTTATTTTAGCAGCAGGCCACAATATTGTCATATATACATTCATACCGGATTCATCCTCCAGTGAGATGTCCCATCATCTGCCAGCACAGCCTTTTTGTATTCTTTCTCTCTTCTTTTTCTTTAAACTAAGGAATAAATGATCACATATTTCTGATCAGAAATGGCAATATTAAAAAATTGACAGAGAAACATTTGATTCTCCTACAGAAATCTCTCAATAATTTTTGAGATTGGATTTGAAATCAGTTTTGAAGCTGAAATAGCTTACCTACAATTCATCAGGTGCTTTCATTCATTTTTTTGTGATTTAATAGGCACAAATTATAAAGTCACAATACTCTTGTTAATTAGCCACTAATACAAAGATGTTCATGAAATAAACGCCACTCTCTTCCCTGTTTTTTCAGCCTCTTTTCCTAGTGCCACTTCATCAGAGCTGTCTATCTTTTCATTTGCCTCTTCACTTTAACTCCAGGACTTTGGTTCTGTTTATTCAACCTCTTCTTTGCAAGGCCTATGGCTGCAAAATTTCCCAGAAGCCATCTTGTCTTCCCCCCACCTCTTGTCTAATGCTGCTTTTGATTGATAGCTGTTATTTGAATGGCAGCTTAGTCATTATGATGATGGGGGCAGGCCAATAAGGAAGGGGGAGGAAGGTACCTTGGGGCTCTTAATCTGCTCAAGCAGGCTGTCCTTTCATGCGCTGGTTTTAATGTATAAATTACAGGTAGTTCTTGTTGAGCAGCAGCAATTGGGAACATCAACTCCATCACAAAGTGAAATAGTAGCTCACAGAAATCACAAATTTGACTGTACTTCCCTGCTACTCACTCCTTTGCCCTTTGGAATGCTCAAATAATTTGGAATGCTGCAATAATTTGCAAGAAGGGAATTAATTTGTGTTTACATTAATTGGACAGGAATGGATTACAAGAGAGTAAGCAGGCACACATAGGGGAATATACTGGGCTGTTTGTGTAGCATACTTATGGCTACCAGTGGCAGCACATTGTTTTCAATGTGTATGTGCTGCTTAGTCTCTTGTAATTCCTTCCTTTCCAAACTCTTCAGTCTGTGATTGGGGGGGGGGAGAGAAAAACACAGGTCTTGCACAGGGCAATATTACTAATCGTAATGGCAGTTACATGACTCAGGGATGTTACGAAGGTTGTAAATGTGGACATTGGTTATAAAGTTATTTTTTCAGCACCGCTGTAACTTCAAATGATTACTTAACAAGGCCATTGGTAAATGAGGATTACCTGTACTTGAAGGGGAGAGAAATACTTCAAGGCCATCTTAACGAATCATCATAAAATACCCTTTTAAAAATGATTTAAATGTTTAATCTGCTTATTTCTGCCCACAAGGTTGGTTCCCTTGAATACCTTGTATTTCAAGTTGCAACAGGGGGAACAGTTCTGATTACTATTCTTCGCAGCTCCTTACAACCCAGAAGTGAATGTGCAAGGGATGGAGCAGCAAGGTGAGTCAGCCTCTTGAAAGTGTTCTGATTGTTTTTGTTTTCCAAAACAAAATGGTCAGTTCCATTTGACAATTATACCTGAGGCATACAGTTTTCTTTTTTCTTTTAGAACAAACAGGCAAATCCTTAATTATATAGTGAGCAGGGTGGCTTCATTTATTGAGTTTTGAAATGATATTGTAACAAGGCCAGAAGCACAGTACAAACTAGTGAAATGTTATGTAATCAATTATAGTGGATGGGAAATGGCTCCTGTGGACCATTATGGTAATCAAAGTCAGGGCTCTACATGGGCAAAATCTCCAGTTAAACTCCCACAACTCATTTTCAGAATAAAAGACTGCAGGTAGGACTGATGGTAAACATTAGCGCCGGTGACTTTGAGAATATATTGATGGGCAAGTAAGGGAATTCCATGTATTGAGTTATACTCTATTGTTTTGTTTGTGTATTTATTTATATATATTGAGAAGACAATATTAATCCCAATCCATAGCTGTGGGGTTGTAGGAAAAATCTAAAGGTCATGACTATTTTGCTTACTGTTCCATTTTCTCCTCTTGGTTGTTTCAGAGCTGGAAAACAAGAGAAGTGATGCCTGCCAACTTTTGGAATCTTAGATGAATAATCACTCAGATGACCAATATTGGTAAAAAGTGACTAAATGCAATTGGATCAGTGTGGCAGCAACTGTGGACATTACAAAATCTATTAATTCAGTCATTGCTCTGAATGATACCAAATCAAGTGCTCAAGGTAGAGTACATACATAACCCTTGGTCATTTGCTTGCAATTTGGTTAATACAGTATAAAACAGCACAAACTGAGGCTAAGACACAAAATGATCAACATCCTAAGCCATTTCCTAGAAGGAACCAATTACAAGTTGCTCTATTAGCCCCAGGATATTCCCAAATTACTACTACTTGGGAGTAATTGCTCCCAGTTTAAGAACTACTGATCTAAGTATGAATATAACATATTTGACATAAGCATGCTTTTAAGAATATTTGAAGAAAAGAAAGAAAGAAAGAAAGAAAGAAAGAAAGAAAGAAAGAAAGAAAGAAAGAAAGAAAGAAACTAAGTGTATGACTGAACTATGATTCAGATCAACCCTGCTGAGAACATATATTACTTGAGGCTTTTATAAGGATTTTTCAAATAAATAATGCTCATGAGCATCTGTTTGCTATAATGGTTAAAGTGGCCAATCTAGATACACTACCAAGAGACTGTGAAGTCTAGTCCTGCCTTATGTCTAGAAATTAGCAGAGTGCCTTTAGGCCAGTCACCCTCTCTGACCCCTAGAAAGGAAGCAATGGCAAGCCACCTCTGAAAATATTACCAAGAGAGCTGCATGGACTTGTCCAGGCAGTCACCAGGAGCCAAGGCTGACTTTAAGACACAGAAAAAAAGTAAATGAAAGAGTTCAAAAGAACTGTAAAAAAAATTAAAAAAGATATTTACATAGTTTTATTAGTCAGTTTTCAGATACAAGAAATCAAGCATGTACACATGCACAATTAAATTCAAATCTAACTTGAAAAATTGCTTTTTGAAGCTCTGTTTATTTGGATAAAAATAATCAACAATAAAGATTCCTTAGAATCCAAACAAGTAACTAAATTGTGCATGAATCAACCAAGATTTACAGCTGACAGCATGCTTGTCAAAATGTTTGTCTCTGTGTAAAACTCTTGCCACCATTCTCCTTGCCTGTGTGATAATGCAAATGTAAAAGCTATTAAGTTTCCATGAATGCACAAATAAATATTCAGCATGGTTAACATTTCATAGCAATCTATTTAATACTCAGGAGAGTTTGTTGGGAAAAGCTCTGTACCTTTCTTTTGCCTGACTCTGTATTATTTCCTGCTCTTGGCTGCACTTTCTCTTCTTTTGGGCAGGACTACAGCTTTGGACTCTGTTTGAGACCTGACCTGCAAAAAATTAAAAATATCTCTTGAAAACCAGTCAGATGCTCAGCTCTTTGCGCAAATCCTCAGAACAAGGAAATGATGTCATCTCTCAGCAAGATAGAGATACGAATGGCATTTGTTTTTGTGATTGTCATTATGCTGTTTCTATTGCGGGAGAATATCCCCCACCATTATTTCATTATTATTATTAAACTTATTAAATAAATGTATATAGCTGCCCAACTCACAGACAGTGATTCCAGGAAGTGTCCACATTAAAAGCCCATAGTTAAAAATTCACAATTTAATACTCATTCATCCCCACTCAATGGTGGTGACAACAGAATCAAACAAGCCACATTATCAGCTTTGGATGGGCTCCCCAGGCCCACTGACAAAACCATGTCTTCAAGGCTTTGCAAAAAAGCAACAAGATGGGGACCAATTATATTTCTAGGGGAATGATGTTCCACAGGGAGGGAACCATCACAGAGAAGGCCCTTTTCCTAGGTGCCCCCCAGATGTAATTCTTTGGTGTTGGGACCAACAATATGTCTTGCCTTCCTGCTCTGGTGGGCCAGGTATGTGTAATTGGGGAAAGGCAGTCATTAGGCAGTCCCCTGACCTACAATGTGTGATAGCACAAATATCTTCAGAAAACATAAATTCAGGACAGAAGCAAATGGCACAACCCATAATAGGGGCCCTTCTTTTGGGTGATCTTTTGGTAGCACCAAAATTCTAAGCTGATAAAGCACCATTCAGTATATCAGTGGGCTTTTTCCCAGTGGTAACATCCTGGTTCATCCCATGAAGCAACATATTATAAAGCAGCTAGAAACGGAATGTGGATTCTCCTGACATCTTGCAGGATTGGAGTTTACTTTAAAAGGACAAGGGACATAGAGTTTTGCTTCTTTAAAATAGAACATTCATATATTTATTGAAAGCAATAGAGTATTTTGGCATCTTAAAACAGTTTACAGCTGAATAAGCATTTCTAGATCACAGACCATATCATAAGATATGTGGTGCATAATTCAGAGAGATGAAAGTATTACAGTATTTATGTATGGTGTAATTGCTGGGAGGGAGGAGAGAGGAGGAATGATGATAGGAAAAGGGGGAGGAAAATTTCTTTAAATAAAGTAGTAGTTAGATATCATATAGATCTTCTTGCACTCAATAATTTATGAATATGTGTAGAGAATCACTCTGGTTTTGTGATTAAAAGAAGAACCAAAATAGAAAGTGGATGACCGTGAGTTCTTGTTCCTCCTTAGGCCAGAAACGGCTGGATGACCTTGAGCTTGTCCTCTCAGATCAAAGAGAAGGCAATGGTGAGGGACTTGTCCAGACGGCTGCCAGGAGTCAACACTGACTTGAAGGCATTGCTCCCCCCCCAAAAAAAAAGTAGTGTAAAAAGATAAAGACACATTCCAGGCTAGCTTCATCCCAGTAACTAAATTCATACAGTTTCCTTGGCAACATTATGGAAGTCATCTGTCTTAGCCAACCTCTATGTCACCATTAGAGTATTTTTCTTATATGTTTATAGTAAGTTTAAATTAAGGAAAGACTGTATAGGCAGTAGCCATTTTACATAAGTAAAGGTTGGTTCTTGCCATTTGAAACAAATGAATCAGAATCAGAATAGAGCTGGAAGGGACCTTGGAGGTCTTCTATCTAGTCCAGCCTTCTGCTCAAGCAGAAGACCCTATATCATTTCAGACAAGTTGCTGTCCAGTCTCTTCTTAAAAATCTCCAGTGATGAAGCACCCACAACATCTGAAGGCACACTGTTCCACTGGTTAATTGTCCTCACTGTTAGGAAGTTTCTCCTTAATTCCAGGTTGCTTCTCTTGATTAGTTTCCATCCATCATTGTTTCTTGTCTTGCCTTCTAATACTTTGGAAAATAAATTGACTCCTCCTCCTTGTGGTATTCCAGTATACTGGAATACTGCTATCATGTCCCCCCTAGTCCTTCTTTTCTCTAGATTGGTCATACCCAAACCCTAGGTGCATCATGTAGAAAAACCCATGTAAAGGAAGACATATCTTATGCATACCTATGTAAGGGAGGACATATATCTTATGAATAGAAAAACACATATAAAATGCCCATTTAAAAATAAATCTGTTTCAATTCTAGATAAAAAGACATTTGTTTAACTACAAATAAGGAGGCATTTGCTTTAACATTAAGATAAGGAAACACTTGTAAAAACCTAACACATTCCATTGAAATGATCTGTAAATCTCCACACTACAAAACCCTATAAATAGGTAAGAAGCAGTTCTTTGACCACCCATCTAAAGTTACTTGAGACCTTTGGACTGAATAAATACATTTCTTTTGACTCTCCACTGATCATCTGGTAAGCTTCATTGGACTCCTAGTTCAGCATGACTGTGGGAAAAGAAGGGATCTAATCCTGACAATGACAAAAGGCTTCAATTTCTTCAGTCATCAGTCAGAACCAGCACATTTCAATTATTATCTTACTTGGGCTCTCTACCCCAAATTCTGTTTGCTTTTCAGAGAGCTCTCTTGAACAGAATCCACTTTACATAATAAGATAAAATGGCTGAAAATGGCTTGTGGAATTATTTTTCAAACTTTTTATCATCAGTGACTTTAGGAGGTGCCTAAACTCTCTTCTGCATAATGAAATAGCATGTTGCATCTCTTTATGTATTTCTGCTCTTTTGTTGTGTCTATATGTGAAAGTGTGTGATGGGAAACAAAGGACAGGTTGCATATGCTCCAATCTGAATTACATGACCAGGGGAGCAACCGGGAATGAAAGAATCAGTAATTCAATGGTATCTTCCATAATGAATACCTTTTTTTCTGGATTTTTGCCCTGCAGCCACTAACTTGATCAGGGCCGTTTTCAAACTCAACCTCTCCTGTGCAGCCTGCTACCATCATTTGGAATTTAGCACTATTTGTTTAGTTTTTAGAGAATTATTATGCTGATGGTCAAGTGGACATAGCCCTTTTGTCCAATTGAATTGGAAGGAATAATAAACAGGGAAAGAGTTTCTCTCAACCACAAAAAAGTTATCAGTTCCTATTATATGTGATGCATAATCTCAACCAATTGTTTTGTTTTTCATAAACATAATTAAGGAAGTTGTGGTTTAGTAAGATTTTTCAACCAAGTCTCATATTAATTGCAACCCTTCTATTGCTTTGTAGAAGTATTATGCCAACTTAGTAAAAATAGGTTTTCTTTTTCAGGATAAGGAAACTGGTATTTTTTAAAAAAATAGAAGTACAGCTACAGCTGTGAACAGTAGTATCAGTCACTTATTTTGATGAAAACTGTCCTTGAAAAATGTCTATGGAGATTCTCGGTCATCCAGATCATAGTTGTCTCAAAGGTATTTTTTCAAAAGGCAATTGGACTGTTTTTTTGAGGAGGAAGAAGAAAATGGCATCATTATTAGTCATTATTCTGTAAGTCTGAGTAAATTCATGTAGAGAGGAAAATGTAGCCAAGGAGGGTGTTCTCGCATGCCTTTCCAATGCTATATCCAAATTTCACAGATTTTTGATTGACATTAGGGTTGGCTCAGACACATGGTTCTGACGTCACAACTATGCATACTGAGCTGTATGAGTGACAGTTCTATAGAAGGAACAAGGCAGTATCAAGGCAGTATCTTGTTATTTTTCTGTCAAGGAGCTGACGTGCAGGCAAGACAGAATTCCTAGTAGCTCAGAGAAATTAACCTTTCTGCTTAGGGGTTTATGGTCCCAATTATTAAAATCTCAGCAGGAAATTTCAATTAGGGAGCACTATGCAAATTATTTCTTATTCTTTTTTTTTTTTTTTCCTGAGCACAGTGTAGATGAATAAAGGCTAAAGAAAGACATCCTCTCCCTTAATACTGCTGCTCAAGTAATATAGCTACTACTTTTCATGCAGGAAGAAGCAGATTTAATTCTTGGCTTCTGCAGGGAATATTGAGAGATATTCTGTTAGAAACTGGAGCATCATTGTCAGTTAGGGTTAGCATCATAAGCTGAGCTCCTAATGTTCTCATCTTTTTAAAAGCTATCAGACCTGGCTGCAAAAATTTAGATTACTACAAGATGACAGCAAAGAGCCAGTCATCTTTTTTCTGCTTGCTGGATTTTTGCAGCCTAAGTTTAATAGCTCTCAACTTTAACTGCCACATTTTCAGATTAAAATTATATGTGCCATTGTGTGCATCTTTGGCATTGCATAAACTCATACTGACAAAAGGAGAGAAAAGAAAAGAACCAAATTGGCTGGCAAGAGTAATAAGATTCTAATACTGCTACATCCAGAATGAAATCACCAATAGGAACATATATCCCTTTGGCAGAAGCCTTTGTTTAGATGCAGGTAACATTGAGAAAGGGGTATCTGATTTGATCCTCAGTCTAAATTCAGCTGTCACTTAGCTAAGAGCTGTTCTTAATTTAAATGCCTATGCATAGCTTCAATAGAATATTTAGAAAAGGCTGTACAATTTGTGATCCAGTAAATTAAACATTATATAGGTAACTGATTCCAGCTTAATAAAAGCTCTCATCTTTCTGGATACCTGGGCTTGCAGATACAGGAAGATTTGTCAAGCAGGTGACAATACAAAGGATGCAAGTGAGTTATTATTTGAGTTGGTAGGTCATCAGGTAGCAGAGTCTTACATTTAGATGAACAGTGTGAGTTCCAAGCTGAAATGCAACGTCTTCTCGTGATTTCTTCAGACCTTAGGCATTTATCCAGGCCATGGAAATAAAAAAAGGCTAAGGGACTACAGCCTCATTCAGTGAAACATCTTCTACCAATTGACAGATAAAATCAAGAGCATCCATTCACATTTATTTATTTTTAATTAGAGCATGCTTCCTTTAAAAGAAATGTCAAAGCGCCATTATGTGAGATAGCTTTGGATATAACTGGGTCTCATATACTGTTTAAAGATAATAGTAGAAATAATAAAATTCATCCTGACTCTGTGATTTTATACCATTAAGTTTAAAAGCCCAAACAATGCAAGAGGGAAAAAAGATATTTACTGGATGGCCTTACTGAGAGAAACAGACAAGCAGCAGAAAAATTTAGCCAGGGGGTGCTGAGATTTTTATCTTGGCAACAATTCCTCCCAGCCCTCTTTGGTTTAGATTTCACCCCTCTCCCAATCTGTTAATTCTCACTGTCCATCATATTTCATAAAAATGTTCATTATATATACTGTATTTAACAGGGTTGCAGAAGTTTTCAAAGCTAGCATCTTGCAGGAGGACCTGCTGGTAATTACCTGGGCAAAACCATTCATTTCTTGGCAGCAATATGGAAATTGTCTGCCATTGCTTTCTTTTGGGGTGGTGTTTGTATGTGTGCAGAGGGATTTTCTTTTTACTTCCCATCTAGCTACCAATCTAAGAATTCCTTGTGTTCTTTGATTCAAATATTAACTATGTTTATCCCTGCATAGTTTCTTCAGATCAGCCAAGACCAGCTAAGTCAGCAATTCTCAACCTGTGGGACACGATCCTTTTGGGGGTCAAAGGGGTCGCCAAGCCTCCTCCCCGTTGTCTGGATTACATTGGGGCGGGAGTTTCTTGTCGACCGCTGAAGGGAGGTGGGGCGACTCTGCCCCGAAGCGCTGCCAGTCGCGCCAATCCAAAAGCAGGATATTGGAAGGGCTCCCGTCCCATCGCAGCCCTCGAGTCTCTCTGCCTGAGCAGTCCTCGCTAGATCATCGCTCCCGCAGACTTCCGCGGGCGACCGTGATGCCCTCCAACTGATCCAGGACCCCGTTGGCACCCGCCTCCTCCGGCTCCTTCACCCGCGG